GGGGGCTGGCCCTGGGGACTGTTGCAGGCCGGCTGGGAAAGCTCTGCTAACTGACTTGCTGTAACAGCAGCAGCCACTGTCCTGGGAGCCCATCTGTCTGGGTCAGTGGGTGGAGCAGGAGGCTGAGAGGCTGAGCTGGACTGTCCTTTGTCACAGGCTCCTGCCCACCTCAGGCATTGCCCAGACTCAAGGAAGGTACCTGGCAACTCCTCAAACCCAGCATGTGTGCCACATGCACACACATACATACATGTGTACAGTGTCCCCTCCTACTCCTGAGATGTGAATCACACAGACACTAGATACTGTGGTCACAATCCCCTTAGCTCAGGCCATTTTCCAAAGTATATATTTTTAATTATTTGGTTGGGGGCGGGCAGGGCGCAAGTGTGTGTACATGTGACTCCTGAGGATAGAGCTCAGGTCTGAGACTTGGTGGCAAGTTCCTTCACCTGCTGAGCCATCCTGCTGGCCTGACCAGTCCTGGCTTTCAGACACCACCAGCCTGAGTCTCCAGGACAGTCACAGCACAGCTGGCTGCTCTGAGCATCAGGGGCTTTGCCAGCACCTCACACCTGTTTATGTGACTTGCCTGTGGGACCATGGCACAGGGGCTAACACACATCTCTTGCAGCCCCCCTTCAGGGTCTCTTCAAAATGTCCTAGTGAGCTCCCTGTGTCATACAGGTGGAATCTCCTGACGCCCACAGAGCTTGTGCAGAGCTGGGCTGCCTGCCAGCCTCCTGCCGGTCTGTAGAGCCTTGGGACTGCCCCAGACTGGGGGTGGGCAGCCACCTGCTGTGTGGTCCGTTCTGTATGTATCTCTGTTTATGTGTGTCTATGTGTGTCTGTGGGTGACTGGGATGGCTTTTCAGGTCATAGTAGGGCCACAAGTGCATGCAAATGGGTAACAGCCTCGTGCCCCCAGAACATGCATGTGGGAGGCATGTGACGGGGCACAGGTGTGACAGGCGTGAGAGTATGAAGTGTTGAGGATGGGAGGCATATTTTGGGGGAATGTGGACATACTGGCCAGGGGGTCTTGCCCAGCTCCTAAGAGTGGCCCACCCATCCCTGCGCCCCCTCCCTGCTCCTCTGACTGAGGGCCGTCTTCTTGTGTCCCCCACAGGCTACATCCAGAAGATCAAGTCGGGAGAGGAGGACTTTGAATCTCTGGCTTCACAGTTCAGCGACTGCAGCTCCGCCAAGGCCAGGGGAGACCTGGGTGCTTTTAGCAGAGGTGGGCAAGGATGGGCAGGTGCCGCAGCCTCTTCCTCATTTTCTCTCTTGACCTGGAAGGCCCAGGAGGGCAGCCCTGTCACACAGTCTTCATGCTCCACCAGGTGGCAGCACAGCCCTCCCTCAGGTCTCCTGGCCCTTTGGAGGGCTGGAGGGAGGGGCCACAGAGGTACCGGGCCTTATCCCTGCTGTGCTCCCTCCCAGGATCATGGGGCCTGTCTCCCACATTCCTGCTTTCCCCCTAACATAGGTGGGGAAAATGACCAAGAGGAGGAAGGTCAGACCCAGATATGCAACCTCCCAATAACAGAGGAAATTTGGGTCTTCTCTGCCCCCTCCTTCTTTCTTCCTCCTCCATCTCCATCTTCCTTTGATGGGGCTGGGGGTGTGGAATGTGGGCACCTGCCAAGGAGAGGAAGCCAGAGAGGGCTTCTGCTGTCACCCAGGTGGGCTGTGGGACAGATAATGTTAAGGGTGGGAGCCTGAAGAGGAGTTCATCACAGAACTCACTGCTGCTTGCCATCCCTCATGCTGTCCCCAGGCTTCCCAGGGCCGCTTTAATGGCCCTAAGGCCTCCAGCTGGGTCGAAGCTCCTGCACATTCAGTGATGGGGCTATAAACCCTATGACAAATGAACTTGAGGCCAGTAGGCAGGAGCCTCATCTGCCATGTAGCCCAGCCTGACCCCTCCCGGCCCCTGTCCCTTCCCAGGTCAGATGCAGAAACCATTTGAGGATGCGTCGTTTGCACTTCGGACAGGGGAGATGAGCGGACCGGTGTTCACGGACTCGGGCATCCACATCATCTTGCGCACAGAGTGAGGGCCAAAGGCCTAGTTGGCCTGTGGGCTGCCAGCGACCCACGGCCCCCTTCCTGCTGCTGTCACAGTATTTATTGTTCCCAGTATGGCTAGGAGGGCTCTGAGATTGGGGCTCTATATACCAGCTCCCTTGCCGCCTCCAGTTGGGGCTGCCCTGACTAGACTCCTCCAGGAAGGACTAGGGGTGGGGAGGCCTCCAGGGCCCAGAGGTGACCAGCCCCCTGGGTCCCAGAGGCAGGCAGGAGGGCCTTGTTTGTTTGTTATGCTCTGTTCCTCTGTTCAGTTGTAAAAAGCTCCACGCCTGGCGCTGCCGTGACTCAGGCCTGGGAGCATAGTGCAGAGCCCTCTGCACCTTCCATTAAACCTGGAACTACTGCTCTGTGGTCCTTTGTCCTATTGCCTCCCTGGGGAGGTGTGAGGGCCCGGTCTCTGGTGGGGAAGGAGGGAACCATCACCATCATTCCCTGAGGTGGGTGTTCAAGCTCCTCTTCAGGGCCTGAGGGCCCTACTGGAATACTTCCCAGCAGTCCAACTCCCAGGCAGTAAGGGGTTTCAACCTGTGTGCCAAGATCACAAGGGCTGGCAAACGATGGAGGAATCCTGGAGGGGCCCAGGCTCAGCATCTGAGGAGGTGGGTGCCCCTCAGCATGCTTCACCCCTGCACACACCGATGCTCCCATCCCACACCTGCCATCCACAAACACTTCTGCCTGGTTGTTCTTGGGTCCAGCCAATAAGACCCAATACCTTCGGACTGGCTGTTTCCATGGAAACGGGGGCTCCCTGGACTGGAGGGGAGGGTGGACTCTCAGTTCCCAGGGGAGAGCAGGGATCCTGACAGGACTGGGGAGCAGCTGTTTTGAGTGGCAGGTGGAAGGAGAGGGGCTCTCCCACCTCTAGTTAGAGCCCCCACCCAGCTGCCCTTGGGCTGAGAGCTTGGAATTCAGTTGGGTTTGTGATTACACAAGTAATGGGAGCCAGCCAGGATGATGGGGGTGGCTGCAGCTGGTAGGGTTTGGGAACCAGAGGAGAATCAAGCTGGACCGGACCTCAAGGGAACCCTTCCCCCCAGGGCTGAGTCTCATAAACAATTACCTGAACCTGTTCCCATCTGGCTGTTTTCTGGAGCAGTCAGTCGCTCAGCCAGCAGCCTGCCCAAGTGTTTGTCATTAGGAAGGTTTAATGAGTTTCTTCCCGACACAGGCTAAGGAGACCGGGCTTGGTTGACTGACAACACCCCCCACAAAGTGTTCTCCTGGACCGTTGAGGGATGCAGGCAGTAGCCAGAACGTCTGCTGCAGCAATTGGGTGGGCTGGAAAGGTAGTGGCACCCCTCTTGGCATGACAGAGCCCCTTTGAGAGTGGGGATTGGAAGTGAGTGGCCAGGGGCAAGAGGTTCCTGTTGGGTTTTCTGGGGAAGAGGATCCTGCACCCCCATCCCAGCCTGCAACACCAAGGGTAGTCAGCGGGCTTTGGCGTGTTCTTGGTGCCTTTTCCCCTCTGTATGTGACTGTGTAACTGGGTATCTGTCCTGTAAGGTACTGGGAATCCCGTCTAGGGTCTGTCCCTCTGGACCCTAGCCACCTCCTTCTCATGTCTCCATGCTGTACTGAAAGCCCAAGTCTGAGAGATGCCATTAGATAAATGTGTCCCAGGAGCACACTCAGTGTCCCTGCCATGTATTATTAACTACTTTTTGGTTTCCCTCACCAGCTCTGTGTTCCCACCCGCACCTGATGGTACCAACTGACCGTAAATTGCAGGCCTTTAGCATGGCCACAGTGTAGTTCTTGCCCCACCGCCAAGTCAGCAACATACAATTCAAGACACAGAGACACAGGTGACCCTGGCCAAAATGGGTCATTCTTTCACTCATTCTTGGTAGTCCTGTGCATGCATGCTCCTGTGTACACATGCATATGTGTGTATGTGTACATAAGAGAGACAGTGGGGGCTGGAGAGATGGCTCAGCAGTTAAAAGCACTGACTGCTCTTGCAGAGGACCCAGGTTCAGTTCCCAGCACAACTGCTAGTAACTTTAACTCCAGTTCCAGGGATTCCAATGACCTCTTCTGGCCTCTGTACACATTGCACACACACATGCTTGTAGGCAAAGCATACGCATAAAACTAATCTTTTTTTTTTTTTTTTTTTTTTTTTTTTGTCTTTTTGAGACAGGGTCTTCCTGTAGCTCCAGCTGCTATGTAGCCCAGGCTGCCCTCAAACTCACAGAGATCCGCCTGCCTCTGCCTCCTGAGTGCTGGGATTAAAGGTGTGCGCCACCACACCCAGCTTAAAAGTAAATAAGATTTAAAAAAGAGAGAAAGGGTGATGCAAGGTGCCCTGGCCCATGTGCTCACTCGGTGCCCACATGTGACAGACATGTTCACACTGGCCCTGCCCCGGGTGTATGAAGTGAATGTGTTCTGGACAGGAGTCTAGAATGCTACAGCCCAGCCTTGCTCCTTGCTTCACAGAACACAAGTCATGGGCAGGTGGTCCACAGGCATCGCTTTCTTTTTCTGTTCCTTTTTTGTATTTTTTTTAATGGAATTATCTTTTTAAAATTTTTTAGATTTATTTTGCAGCTATGACTGTCTTCCCTGCACGTAAGTGCACCACATGCATGCAGGGCCTATGGAGGGCAAGAAGAGGGTGTAGATCCCCTGGAATTGGAGTTACAGTTGTTAGCCACTATGTGGGTGCTGGGAATGGAACCTGGGTCCTCTACAAGAGCAGCCAGTGCTCTTAACTGCTGAGCTATCTCTCCAGCCTGCTTTTTTTGTATTTTGAGATATGGTCTTGCTCAGGCTGGCCTCAAACCCCAAATCTCTCTGCCCTAGCATCGAGAGCCAGGATGACTGACTGTTGCCTTTTTAGCAGGTGTGACAAAGTCCCTGTCCTGTGCTAATCCAGGAGTCTGTCCTTTCTTCCTGCCTGGTGCCACACTTCTTCACTTTCGTGGGAATTAATTGCTCTTCTTGAGGGTTCCTTCAGCAATTGGCTTTAAATGAGTGCATTAGGCAGTCCATTCATTATTCATGGGTTTTCTTCCCAATACGGCCCTCGTGTCCAAGTTCCCAGAGATGCTGGCACCAAGCAGAGACGATTTAATCACAGAGGCCATTAATTAGAAATGGGGACAGCGGCCTCTGGGTGGCCGCAGCAGGGTGGGGTCGGGGCCAGCAGGAATCTCTGTATGCTGTTCCTGCTCTTGGTAAAACAGGCTGACATGGAGGACAGGGCCATCCTGTCTGCTCACTTGCTCACTTCCCCCATTCCAGATGAAAACTCTTCCCATCTTTATTTAAAAAAAAAAAAAAAAAAAAGGCGTATGAGTGTTTGACCTGCATGTATGTAAGAGGGTGTCGGGTGCCCTGGAATTGGAATCAGGCATTCCCCCCCCCACACACACACACATCTCTTGATGCCCTACTGACTTAACTCTTCTGTGAGACATAACTGGTCCCTAGCCTCCTTGCTCCAGCCTATCCCACGCAGGCAGATCTGCCTGACACAAAGCACTCTTCTTGCTGGGGGTGGTGCCTCAGTTGGTAGAGCATGTGTCTATCATACACAGAGCCCTGGGTTCCATCTCTATCTAGCATTGTATAAACTGAGCATGGGTTTCATGCCTGTAATCCCAGCTCTTGGGAAGCAGAGGTAGGAGGATATCTGTGAGATCAAGACCAGCTTGGTCTACATAGTGAGTTCCAGGTCAGCCAGAACTACACAGTGAAGCTCTAGCTTAAAAATATAAATAAATAAAAAGTTTGAGTTCATCTTTCACTAATAGAGGCCAGCCAGGGCTATGTGATTTCAAAAACAAAACAAAATTTAGCCTTACTCCCTGACTGTCACTGCCAGGCCCATCATTTTCCACATCTGACACCCCATCTGTGGCCTGGGCTCTAGGAACCCTTATCCCCATCTTGTTCATCAAATCCCTGTCCCAGCCCCTCCAGGTAGAAGAACTCTGGTGTGAAATGTGATAGGTTCCCTCCGAAGCCCTAGGGCCAGGTGTACTTTTTAGGTTATTTTGAACATTTTGCTATTAACTGACCTGGCTCATTTGAAAACAGTCTTGGCAATTATAAAGCAGAGAGAAGAGAAGAAATTGGGGGCCCTAACCTCTCTTAAAGGCAGCCAAATTGTTAAAAAGCCATTAAAACATCCCCTGATGGCTCAGAGATGCACCAGCGTGATCAATGAAAGCCAACGGCAGGCAATATTCATTTGAGGCCAGTTTTCATCTTACTAATAGAATTCTCCATTGTTTTGATCCAATTGCTTTTAAACGAATTGCTTTTGATTGCAACACCTTTCGATGAGTGGGCTCCTGTAAGAGCTAGCCTGGGGAAAGGGGAATTCCAGGCCCCCACCCCAGCTCACAGTGTAAGCACAGAGGATTAAGGGGTCTGGGTCTCCATCTCCGACCACCATTGGATACAAAGCAACCCAGACATCAAATGTCAAAGGTCCCATTTATTCTGGCAACCCAGAAAGAAAATGTGTAAATAATAAAAGATCCATGCACTCAGGTCTGGGGTGGGGTGGGGAGTGAAGCAGAGGGAGAGGAGAGGGGAGGACAGATGAGAAGGAATGAGGTGGTTAGGAGATGGGGAAGAGGGAGGAGTGAGCTCAAAAAGACAGGCTTCCGTAAAGGGGCAGATACAAGTAGCGTATCAAACACCATAAAGGAAAAGACAACTGAGAAACCTCAAGGATGGAAATACAGAGGAGAACAGAAAACTGAGCCAGGAAGGAGGGGAGGGAGGGAGAAGGAAGCCGGGGTGGGGGCATGACAGGGACCAAGAGAAGGGCAAGAGGGTCACAGGGCCCTGGGGGTGGGGTGGGGGGGAGTGTCACTTAGGGGTCTCCGGCTGTGCTGATGACGTGGAAGAGGGTGACATTGTACAGCACCTGGTGGCCATTGTTCCAGGTGTAGAGGGCACGTTCTCGGGGGTTGTAATCCAGCATGGAGATGTGTGAGTACTGGTTGTGGAAGGGGACATCAGTGTACTCATAGCTGGATGTGTTGGTGAAGTAGGCGAAGTAGACCTTGGCCCCAGCCAGGTGGGAGTTGGTCACGTAGAGGACACCGCAGATCATGAAGGCCTCCCCAGCACTGCGCTTGGGGTACCCGGTGTCCCAGGACCTTACCACCTCCAGGGTGTGAGGGTCTAGCCGGCTTACCACAATGTTGCCTGCATTCTGGTTGGTGGTGTACACAGCCCACAGTCCACTCTCATCCACCATGAAGTCCATGTCTGAGAACCCCCCCCAGGAGTAGGGGAAGGTGTTGTTGTAGCCGGCACCTGGGAGGCTCCGCTGCACCATCACCGACCGTGATCGGAAGTGGTACTTGACCACCACGTTGCTCTGGTACTTATTGTAGAACAGTGAGCCATTGTATACCACATGGCCTGTGCCTGCCCAGGGCTGCGGTAGCAGATGCTGGATAAAGTTCTGGCCTTTGATGAAGTCTCCCAGAGTGCGGAATTCCAGTACCCGCCGGCCCTTGTAATAGCCATCCATATACCAGACCTAGGAGAGCAGCCACTGGTCACTGGAGGTACTGCCACCAGGGAACCCCAGGACCCACCATGCAGTCAAGGTCAACTTTGGTCATCAGTGACCAGCCCATTCATCCCAGTGACTGTGAACACTAGTGGGCTTAAACATGGTTAGGACTGCAGAGATAGATCAGGGGTTAAGAGCACTAGGGTTCAGTTCCCAGCACCTACATGGTGGCTAACTGTCCTAACTCCAGTTCCAGGGGATCTGACACCCTCTTCTGGACTCCTCAGATACTGCATGCATGTGGTGTGCTTACATACCTGCAGCAAAACACTTGTACACATAAAAATGAATTTAAAAATTTCTAAATTATAAAAAAAAAAAGTTGGGGCCAGGGAGGTAGCTCAGAGGGTAAAGTGTTTGCCATAAAGCATGAGGGCTTGATTTCCAATCCCCAGCACTCATGTGAACGCTTGGCACATCAGATGTAGTGGCACAACCTTTAATCACAGTACACAGGAGGCAGAGGCAGGTGGATCTCTGTGAGATTGAGGCCAGCCAGGTCTACATAGAGAGTTTCTGGACAGCTTGGGCTAAAGGGAAACTGTCTCAGAAAACCAAAGGTAAATAAATTAATAAATGATAAATAAAAAATGGGGACAAGTGGTATACTGCTGGAACATAGCACTGGGGGAGGCAGAGAAAGGCAGAGCTTTGCAGCACATTGGTCAGCCAGACTAGCTAATAGATGAGCTCTAAATTCTGTGACAGATCCTGGCTGAAAAAGTGAGGTGGCAGGGCTGGGGAGATGGCTCTGCGGGTAAGAGTGCTTGCTATGCAAGCCTGAGGACCAGAGTTCAAATCCTCAGGAACTACATGTAAAGCTGGGTGTGGCCACACGTGCCTATGATGGCAGTTCTGTGGGGAGACTGACTTGCTGGCTGCCAGCGTGGCTCAAGATTCAGTGAGAAATCCTGTGTTAAGAGAATAAGGTGGGGAGAGAGCTCAGGACACCAACATCCTCCTCTGTGTACACACACCCCCAAAAGAAAAAACTGACCTCTGGCTTCCACATGCATGAGCACACGTGTGCACACATCTATATGAACACACACACACACACTAAAAGAAAGCCGATGGTGTACACCTTTAATCCTAGTTCTTGGGAGGCAGAGGTAGGTGGCTCTCTGTTGAGTTCAAAGCCAGCCTGGTCTACACAGGGAGTTCCAGGACAGCCAGGCTACACAGTGAGACCTTATCTTAAAAAAAGAAAGCCCTAAGTGGCTCTGGAGAGCTGGCTTAGTGGTTAAGAGCACTGGCTGCTCTTGCAGGGAACCCAGGTTTGATTCCCAGAACCCACATGGCAGCCAACTACCATAACTCAAACTGGGTGTAATGGTTCACACCTTTAATCCCAGCACTCAGGAGGCAGGGGCAGGCAGATCTCTGTGAGTTCAAAGCCAGCTGGGGCTACAGGAGACCCTGTCTCTTGGCTCAGTCCTTAAGAGTGCATGCTGCTCTTTTATAGTACCTAAGTTTGGTTCCCAGCACACAAGTCAGGCAACACAGAACTATATGTAACTCCAGCTTCAGGGGACCGGATGCCCTCTTCTGGCCTCTGTGGATATTGCACACATGTGGCACGCTTTCGTACTTGCAGGCAAACACATTCACATGCAAGAAAAAAAAAGTCCTAAGTTAGCAATGGTGATCCCAAATGATTAGGGAACACTGTGTCCCCGGGGACTCACTAGGGCTACAGAGTCACTTGTCATTAAACATTGGATACAAAGTGCTCATTGGACAGCTATTGGGTAATATTGGTCTCTTGCATTCATAGTCAATGGCTAACACCTGTAAGCACAAGGTCACCCAACATGCCATCGAAACTCCATCATCATCATCATCATTCTCACCATGTTAATCAGCATTTGTGAGTGTCCTTATTATCAAACTAAGACACCAGCCCTTCAGTGTTGCCTGTACCAGGATTGTATTGAAGATACAGAAATTGAAGATCGGACAATGAAGGCCCCAGTCAGAGCTTCCCTGACTTAGAAATAATGGGACTAGTTCAAAGTCTAATTCGGAACTATCCAGTTGGCTGAACCACAATCATCCCTGAGGGAGGTCCAGGTGGAGCAGTGACAGGTCGCCACCTGTGCTGTGTGACACTTGGTGATCACCCATTGTGATAGCTTTAATTGGTCTGCTTAAAACAACCTAAAATCACCTAGGAAGAGAGTCTCAGTGATGGATTGTCTACATTGAGTTGGCCTGTGGGGCACTGTCTTGATTGTTAATTGATGTGGGAAGACCCAGCTCACTGTAGGCAGCACCATTCCCTAGGCAGAGGGACGCAAATCTTATAAAGTGGAGAAATGGAGCTGAGCACAAACAAGCATTGAACAGGGCTATCCATCCTCCACACCAAACGACCACCCTCTTCAAGAGTTCACCTATGTCCACTTGCAAAAGGTCATCCCAGCTGTGACTGCTGAGTTCCCTCATAGAAGGACCCTCACCAGAGTATCAAGCTACTTCTCCCAATAGGTTGTATGCACCTCTGTCCAAATTGCATATGACCTTGGGGAGGGACTAGAGTATATAGGCTGGGGTAGACAGGAGAAGGGGGTTCCGTCTATGCAACTATGGGGAATCATCATCCATGCTGGGTAAAGACTTTCCAGTGTGGCCTTTTCAGGGAGAACCTACACTCCTGGAAGTGACCTCAATAAACTCACTGGTTCCCCAAGGTGAACTTTTGTGGTTGGGACCCTGGGGGAGAAGGGAAGATGTGCATTCTACATCTTCCCCAGGGAGGAAATTTTAGCCACAGGGAGCAAGTGAGCAAGTGTACAATGCATTCATTTCTCTCTGCTTTTGACTGTGCATGTTTCTAGATGTTTGAAGTTCCTACCTTGACTTCCCCACAATGATGGGCTGTAACCTGAAACCTTGAGCTCAAACAAACCTCTTTCTCTCCTAAGTTGCTTTTTGTCAGAGTACTTTATCACAGCAACAGAAAGGAAACTTGGATACTCAGTGACCAATATCAGTCGCTGAGAAGTGGTACCATCACCTAGTGGTTTTCAGATGGATCTTCTGGATCTAGCAGTGGTGATGTTGGAGACCACTTGGAAACTGGAAGGCCACAATAGTACTTTGGGGGGCAGTAGTCTTTAAGGCCTTAGGAAAGACATTGCTCAATGGGTTCTCATTTGGAAGTTGTGATGATGAACCGTTCACTTAAAGATTATTTATTTATTTATTTATTTATTTATTTTGAGACAGGATCTCCCTGTAGCCTGGATGGCCTGGAACTCACTATATAGACCAGGCTGGTCTCCATCACATGGGGATCTGCCTGTCTCTACCTCCCAGGTGCTGCCCACTTGGCAGGGCTGGAGAGATGGTTAAGAGTACTTGCTGCTCTTGCAGACCACCAAGGTTTAGTTCCCAGCACCTATGTCAGGTATCTCACAACCATCTGTAATTCTAGCTACAGGATTTCCAACATAGTCTCCTTTTCTTAATGTCACCTTCACTCACGTGGCATACACACAAACTTACACATAAATAAAATCGAATCCCAGCACTCAGGAGGCAGAGGCAAGAGGATCTCTGTGGGTTCCAGGTCAGCCAGGGCTACACAGTGAGACATTATCTCAAAAAGAAATAATAGGGACTGGAGAGATGGCTCAGCAGTTAAGAGCACTGGCTGCTTGTAGAAGACCCACTCTTGTAGAGGACCCAAGTTCAGTTCCCAACACCCATACAGCAGCTAACAACCATCTGTAACTCTGGTTGCAGGGGATCAGACGCCCTTTTCTGGCCTCCTTGGGCATTGCATTGCACTTAAATACATGCAGGCAAAACATACATAAAAAATAAAAAATAAGCCTGGTGTGGTGGCACGCCTTTAATCTCAGCACTCGGGAGGCAGAGGCAGGCGGATCTCTGTGAGTTCAAGGCCAGCCTATTCTACATAGTGAATTCCAGGCCAGCTGGGGCTACAGGAAGACCCTGTCTCAAATAAACAAACAAATAAATAAATAAGTAAATAAATAAATAAATTTTAAAAGAAATATTAAAAATAAAATGTGAAAAAAAAAAGTCACTGGTGTGTAAGCCCTGGGCACTGGCAGGCAGCCAGCAGCTCTGGTCCTTTGGGTCCCTGCCACTCACCCGGCTGTCCGTGCTGGGAGCCATTGTGTCAGTCATCCAGGAGCCAAAGCGGGACCCCATGGCCCTAATGGTGATGGGGTTACTGACTCCTGTCAGCTTTCCGCAGCCTGAGAAGTGGGAACAGAAAGTGTGAGGACAGGACTGGGCCAGAGCATGGGGGAGGCAGGACACCTGTCTCTGGGAAGCGCCAGGAGCCAGGAGTCAGGGAAGATGCTGGGGCATGGTCTCAGGACAATCAGGATGGACATGAAGGATTGGAAGTCACCTCCAGCTTTGTGACCCAGGCTTGGCCTGGGGAGGGTAGGTTAAAGTTAGGTTAGCACTTAGATGTCAAAACCATAAGCAATCCCAGGACCCAGGAAGCAGAGGCAGGCAGATCTCTGTGAGTTCAAGGCCAGCCTGGTCTACATAGTGAGTTCCAGAACAGCTGGGGCTACAGGGAGACCCTGTCTCAAAACAACAAAACAAAAAAGCCCAACCAGGCCTAGCTTTGGGAAGTGGCATTAGGGCTAGGTGTGGAGATGAGAGATGGGAGTCAGGATCCAGGGTCGGGCATACCCAGCTTCTGAGCACAGGCGTGGAGCCGGGCCTCCAGGGCCATGACGCGCTGCTGCAGGTCCTCGTACCCATAGGCGCCCATCTCTTCCTGGATGGTGGCCAGGCTGCCGGAGAGGTTCCTCACCTCTTCACGAAGGCGCATGATGGTCCGTGTGTCCGCCTTGTACTGCTCCAGCACGGAGCTCAGGGGCAGCAGCTCTGTCATCCTGTCCTTTAGTTCCTGCCCACCGGGAAGAATGGATGGGCCAATACAGACCCCTGACCCTTGACTTTCACCCTGTCATCTTGGGTGTATACTTGGTTCTTGCTACCTAACACCTTCCGGACCCCAGAGCACAGTCAGTTCCCACTTCTTCCCAAACATGACCCCATTCTTAAAACTAGTGAGCATCCACCCCAATACCTCTTTCCCTCTTTCTTAAGATTTTTGTTTTGTTTTTTTTTGTTTTGAAACAAGGTCTAACTCTGTAGCCCTGGCTGTCCTAGAACTCACTATGTAGACTTGCAGAGATCTGCCTACCTCTGCCTCCCAAATGCTGGGACTCAGGCTTATACCACCATGGCATGTAGAGGTCAGAGGACAACTTGTGGGAATCGGTTCTCTCCTTCCACCAAGTGGGTCCCAGGGATCAAACTCAGGTCATCAGCCTTGGTGACAAGCATCTTTGCCCACTGAGTCATCTTTCCTGCCCTATGCCCAGCTTTTTTACATAGGTGCTGGGGATTTGAACTCAGGTCTTCTAGGTTTCACAGCAAGCACTCTTACCCACTGTGCCATCTCCCCAGCTCCCATCAACCATTCTCTTAACCTCTGATCTGACCCAGAACCACCCACCTGGAAGCTCTTGGTGGAAACTGACCCATCAGCCACCCTGAGTCTTGCATCCAGGCTCCTCATGAGGGTCTCCATGCTGCGCACATACTGGAGGTCACGGTATGTCCTTAACTCCAGGACCTCCATGGACTGCGACACGTTCTGGACCTAGGATAACAGTTCAGGAGACCCAACACACTTCTGAGAGAGGTTGTTGTGGGGGAGGGCAGAATGGGATACTGAGGAGTAGGGGTGGGGGCAGGGAGGGATCCTGGGAAGTTAGTGGAGGCAGAGCAGGGCCCTGATGCTCATGCACTTCTCTGCCAAGTCTCAGCTTCCTTTTCTACACAAGGAAAGAGGTCTAAGGCATCACAGCTGCCAAATGGGACAGTAGTCAGAGAATAAAGAGCCCAAAACATCCTTGGGGAGGTGGGGGGGGAGCAGCCAGGGTACGTGTGTGTGTATGTGTTTGTGTATGTGTGTATGTGACTGTGAGTGTATGTGAGTGTGTGAGTGAATGTGTGAGTGAATGTATGAATGTGTGTGTGCACATGTAATTTCATATGTCTGACTGTGTATATATGTGTGCAAGTGTGTGCTTGTGTATATGGATGTGTCAGTGTGTGTGAATGTGTGTGTAGACCAGAGGTTGAAGTCAGTCTTCCACAATCTACCCAATTTTTTGAGCCAGGTTCTCACTGAACCTGGAGCTCATACTTCAGCAGACTGGCCAGCCATGGAGTCTGGAATCTTCCCATCTCCATCTCCCTAGTGCTGGGGTTACAGATGTGCACTGCCATGCTGAGCTTTTATGTGGGTGCTGGGGATTCACACTCAGGTCCTTGTGCTTCCCAGGCTAATGCTTTACCCACTGAGCCATCCGACCCCTCTCTCTTTTTTCTTGAAACAGGGTCTCCCTGTAGCCCCAGCTGAACTGGAACTCACTATGTAGACAAGGCTAGCCTCAGTCTCAGAGATCCACCTGTCTCTGCCTCCCAAGTGCTGGGATTAAAGCCATGAGCTATTATTTTGTTGTTGTTGTTGTTGTTGTTGTTTTCAAGACAGGATCTTGCTAGGTAGACCAGGCTGGCCTCAGACTTGCAGCAATACCTCTGCCTCAGCCTCCAAAGTTCTGGTATTCCAGGTGAGCACTGCCACACCCGGCTGGGAGAGGGAAGGTTTACATGAGACCCTGAGCATGAGACTACTCTGGCAAGGGGCACCTTCTTATAGGCAGCACCAAAGGCTGAATGGAGCATGCACAGTTGGTGCACACAGAAGGGACCTAGCTGCAGTTCTAGTCTCCAGCCCAGGGCTTCTCTTCCCGGGTGGCCTTGAAGAGATAATGAATGAAGAATCCATGTGGAACACTAGTGTGGGGACACACAGTGGTGGAGACAGTAGGTTCAGAAGTTCAAGGCCAGCCTTGGCTACAGAGCAAGTTTCAGAGCAGGCTGGGTTACATGAGACTGTCTCAAACAATGAAAAGCAAACAAGCAGAAAATAAACCCAAGATCCAGGACATTGGCCATCTTTGAACAATGTACTGAGCTCTTCAGTGCTTGAACCTGGACAGAGGCACAGGGCAGAATGGGAGCTGAGAGGATGGTAGAGCCTTGCTCTGAGCTTGGCCTAGCCTTGCCCTGCATCATCCCGGGGTTCCTACCTTCTCCATGAGCTGTCGCAGCTCACGGCTCCGGCCGTCGCGGGCACAGGTGCTCTGCGCAGGAATGACTGCTGTGCAGATGCATTTACCATCTGGCGCCTGCGCAGAGGTGTACAGCTGCCAGCCCTCTTCAGGGCTCTGGAAGAGAGTCTGTGGAGGAAAGGGTGAAAGTCAGGGAGTTGGAACCCAAAGTGGGGTCCCCAGCATCTTGCTGAGAGAGAAAGGGGCCAGGGGTTGGAAAGGACAGAGGCTTTTTGCTGGAGCTGGGGAATTGGTGCTTATCTTGTAAGTAGAAGGACCCAGGGGAATGTCCAGCAGCTCTCAGGCCAGCTAGTATGCTGTACACAGGGGAGACACTGTCTCATACAAGGTAGGAACTGACACCCCAGGTTGTCCTCTGACCTCCAGACATGAGCTGCATCTTATGTAGCCCAGGCTAGCCTTGAATTCATTATATGGCTGAAGATGATCTTGAGCTTGTGATCCTCCTACCTCAGCCTTCTAATGGGATAACAGTCTTTGTGCTTCTTAGATGCTGGGGTTGGAACCCAGGGCCTTGTGCATGCTGGGCAAGCACTTTACCCACTAAGCTGCAGGCCCAGGCCCAGGAAGGAATTTTTAACTCTCAAAATCTCAATTAAGATGCAAAGAGATGCCAGGCGTGGTGGCACATGCCTTTAATGCCAGCACTTGGGAGGTAGAGTCAGGAGGATCCCTGTGAAATAGAGGCTAGCCTGGTCTACATAGTGAGTTCCAGGACAGCTGGAGCTGCAGGGAGACCCTGTCTCAAAAAGACAAAGAAAAGAAAAGAGAAAAAGCAGTGAGCCAGGCATCATGGCCCACACCTTTAATACCAGCACTTGGGAGGTAGAGCCAGGTGAATATGAGTTTGAGGCCAGCCTGGTCTATATAGTGAGTTCCAGACCAGGCAGGACTACATAGTGAGACCTCCCAAAATAAAAGCAGGGAATACGGGCTGGGTGTGGTGGAGCATGCCCGTCATTTTAGCACTCAGGAGGCTGAATCACAAGTTGGAGGCCAGCCTGGGCTATTTAGAGGGACCCTGTTTCAGCCAGGCATGGTGGTGTATGCCTACAGCTACCCCAGAGGCTAAGGCAGAACTGCTTGAGTCCAGGGGTTCTAAGCGTAGTACACTATGCTAATGGGTGTTCACACAAAGTTCAGCATCAATATGGTGACCTCCCAGAAGTGTAGGACCATCAGGCTTCCTGAGGTGAACCAGCCTATGTTGGAGAGATCCAGCTTGAAAAAAGTGGGGGACGGTGGAAAGATGGTTCAGCAGTTAGGAGCACTGGCTGCTCTTGCAGAGGACCTGGGTTCAGTTCCTAGCACCTACATGGCAGCTAACAACCATCTGTAACTCCAGTCCCAGGGAGTCCAACACCCTCTTTTGGCCTCCAAAGGCATTGCACATATATGGTGCACTTGCATACATGCAGGCAAAACACTCATACACATAAAAAAAATAAATAAATATATTTTAAAAGGTGGAGGGAAACATTTAAAAGAGGAAACATCTGGGTCTGGAGAGATGGCTCAATGGGTGAAGGGTTTGCTGCATAAGCATGAGGACTGGAGTTCAGATCCCCACATCCACATAAAGAAGAGCCAGGCATGATGGGGCAAGCCTGTATCCTGGCACTGGGGAGGTAGAGACAGGAAGATCCTTGGGGCTCCTCCAGGGAGCCAACTTGGTCAGCTCCAGGTTACTGAGAGACCTTGTCTCAGAAAAACCAAGATGGATGGGGGCTGGTGAGATGGCTTAGTGGGTTAAAGGAGCTTTCTACTATGCCTGACAATCTGAGTTCAAACCTTGGGACCCACATGGTGGAAAGAGAGAGCCGACTCCTGAAAGCTGATCTCTGACCTCTACATGCACGCTGTCACATACACACACGAAATGCTAATAAAAAATACCCAAGGTGGACAGCTCCTGAGGAGCTCCATCTGTCGTTGCCCTCTGGTCTCCCTATGCATGTACACACCTGTGCGCACACACATTAAAAAACAAATGCAGGAGGCTGGAGAGACGGCTCAGCAGTTAAGAATACTGACTGTTCTTACAGAAGACTCGGGTTCGAATCCCAGCACCCACATGGCAGCTAACAACTGTCTGCAACTCCAGTTCCAGGGGATCCGATGACAGCCTCTTTTGTCCTCCGCAGGCATTGCACGACATGGGTACACTTACCTACATGCAGGCTTATAACATTCATACAAATAAAATAATAATAATAAATAAAATATTTTAAAAAGAAAATATATCTTTTAAAAATGAAAATATATAGATAAGTGAATATCAAATTTTATAATATTAAATATAGTATAAATATCAAATTTTTAAAATTGCCAAGCATTGTAGAGAGACAGCATGGGAAGAAGTGACTTTAGGTGTCACCTGAGCACAGACTGGGAGGAGGTGAGGGAGGAGCTGTGTCCATTTCTGATGAACAGTGTTTCAGGCAGGGGGAACAGTATGTGCAAAGTTCCCAAGGCAGGACCATGCTGGGTATGTTTGAAAAACATGGAAGCAGCTGGAGCAGAGGAACTGAAGGGCTGAGTGAAGGGAGGTGAAGGTGAGGAGGTTGCAAACTGACAGCAACAGTGAAGACTTGGACGTCTGATCTGAGTCAGGTGGGAGGCAGGTTCTGAGCACAAGGGAGATAGATATACACTGACTTAGGTGCTCACAACAGAGTTCAGCTCAGAGGTGACTGCATGGGTCTAGGCAAACAACAGTGGATAGCGGCCCTGAGCTAGGAGCCCACACTAGCCTGGAACTCCCTGTGTAGCAAAGGATGACCCTGAACTCCTGATCCTCTTGCCTCTGTCTCCCAAGCACTAGGATGAAAGACATGCCATCACCATAATTTATACAAGGCTGGGGCTGGAACCCAGTGTTTCATGCATGCCAGGCAAGCACTGTATCCACGGAACCCCAGCCCCTTAGAATTCATTCTTACATGATTGGAAGAAATTCTGCAAAAAACACAAGTGTTTTCCAGCTACAAAATCAATAATTTGCTACTGATTTCAGGCTGAGGCAGCTCCCAGGAGCTGAGGCAGAGATAAGGCAGGCTGAGAGAGGAACAGTCAAAGCGACACCCCCTCACATGCCACCTTCTCCTCTTCCCACTCAATAAAACTTTCTATTGAAATGGGAGCAAATGAGCTAATTGCACAGATGAATTCCACTTCTCCACTAATTTATAAGAGAAATAACCCATTCATAAATGCCAGCTGGGACTGTTGTAATGAGTCATGATTTATGCCTTATATATACCCTGCCTGAACTGGGGGAACCCCTTCTTTGGAAACTCATATTTCCCCTTGGATGAACTTGCCTTCTTAATCTATATTTTAATTTTTAAAAATTTGAGGGAGATCCTATATCAAAAAAAGAACAATAATACAAAATAAAAATAATAAATTTTTAAAAATTTTGGTGTATGAATGTTTTTTCTGCATATATGTAAATGCACCACATGTGTGCAATGCCTGAGGAGGCCAGAAGAGGGCATCAGATCCCCTGGAACTGGAGTTACAAACAATTGTTAGCAACCATGTGGAGGCTTGGAACTAAACCTAGGTCCTTGAGCACCCAGTGCTTAACCATTGAGCTGACTCTCTAGACCGCCTCCCCATATTTCAAATTACACTTATGTATTTTGTGTATGCGTGTTCAGATATGGGCAAGCATGTGCCATGGCATGTGTGTAGAGATCAGAAGACAACTTGCTGGAGTCAGTTTTCTCCTTCCATGATGTGGGTCAGGCTTGGCAGCAAACTCATTTAGCCACTGAGCCATCTCCTACCTCTCAGTCTCCCTTACATATGAACTGGGTGGAGCCAATGCTCACCTATTTCAGAAGCTACCTGGATGCACACTGACTGAGGATTCATAGGCAGTTAACAGTTGATGGGAAGAGGTGTTCATAAGCCTCCACCCCTCACTGAGAATACATAGCTAGTGGGGAGGGGCTCACAAAGCCCTACCTTGTGCTTAAGAGTGACAGAGTTAAAGGTTACTGTGGGGAGTCACACAAGGCCACACCCATCCCTTAGACTGATAGGTGCTCGAGAGCTGACTCTTGCAGAGGACCTGGGTTTGGTTCCCAGCACCCATATGGCAGCTAACAACCATCTGTAACTCCAGTTCCAGGGGATCCAATGTCCTCTTCTGGCCTCCTCGGGCATTGCACGCACCTGGTGTGCTGACATACATGGAGACAAAACACTCATACACATAAAATAAAGTTTTATTTTAAAAAAATGGATTGCTGGGCGGTTAATGGCTGCTAGTGGGGAGGGGCTGACAAGGCCCCACTCCTCCCTGAGGATTGATAGGCATTTAACAGTTGCTGGGAAGGAAGAGATATTGATTCTGTGGTGTGGACACTGGTGAGGAACCCAGGTTCCTGTAAATAACCCTCACCCATGCTCTGTAAAAAACCACAATAAAACTCACTGCATCACCAAAAAAAAAAAAAATGAGCAGGAAAAAGAACATGAAGTATAAGGGGGGTTGGCTGAGAAAAGGAGGGGGTCAGTGGAAGTGGAGAAGACAAGAGAGGGAGAGGACTGAGTATGATCAAAATACATCGTGCATTGTGAAAGTGTAACCCACTATGTATAATTCAGATATCCTAATAAAAAGTCTTAAGGAAGTACCCAGGGCGCTCCATGTCAAGGCCCCTACCCCCGCCACAGTCCACTCCATCTTTGCACCAAGAAAGACCTGAGTCCTCAAGGGCTCCCAGTATCTACAGAGTCCTGCTACCCTTCTGCTTGTCCTCTGGGAGAACTCTTTTATTTTTATTTATTTATTTATTTTTTTTTTTAAGAGCCTCCCTGTATCTACCTCACCTGGCTTGGAATTCAATATGTAGACCAAGCTGGCCTCTCTCACAGAGATTCTCCTGCCTCTGCTTCCCTAGTGCTGGGATAAAAGGTGTGCACCACCATGCAAAGCCTCTTATTTTTGGTAGCTGTGGGTTGAACCCACAGACTCTTTAAAATGTTAGGCAAGGGGCTTGAGAGCTCACTCAGCAGTTAAGAGCACAGACTGCTCTTGCAGAAGGCCCAGGTTCAATTCCCAGCACCCACATGGCAGCTCACAACTATCTGTA